ACATCTATTTTTCATCAGTTCTCTGACATCTCAGAAGAACATGCAATAAGAGGAACACATGGTAAGAAGAGCTAATTTAGGATCCAACCTTGAGTAGCCTGTGCAGTCAGACAGGACAGCACAAGAAGCTCTTCACTCTACCACCAAGAGAGGTGGACTTCACAGTTCATAGAATCCAAGAATGGTTTGGGTTGGAAGGGACCTGAAAGATCATCCAGTTCCAACTCCCCTGCCATGGGCAGGGATACCTTCCACTGAACCATGCTGCTCAAAGCCCCTGTCCAACCTCGCCTTGAACACTGCCAGGGAAGGGGCAGCCACAACTTCTTGTGGCAACCTGTTGCAGTGCCTCACTACCCCCATAGTAAAGAACTTCTTCGTAATATTGTTAATTTAAATCTCTCCTTTTTCAGTTTAAAGCTGTTCTGCCTTGTCCTAACAATATATGCCCTCCTAAAAGGTCTCTCTCCAGATTTCTTCTAGACTCCCTTTAGGTATTGGAAGGCTGATCTAAGGTCTCCCTGAGTCTGCTCCAGGCGGAACAAGCCCAACTCTCTCAGTCTATCTTCACAGGAAAGGTGCTCCAGCCCTCTGATCTTCATGGCCTCCTCTTGACTGTAAAGATCTTTCAGCTCTTAAAAACAGAGGGACAGAAAACCAGTAGGTGCCAAAGAACCAACATTAAGGTCTAAGAGATTCAGATAAATAACAAAGCAGTTGTGCTCTGCAGTGGCCAGTCTCAAAGCATGTATCCTTCTTTCTAGAGACTAGATCCACAGGCCCTGGATTCAGCAACCCTTTCTGCAGCACACTGAAGTCAGTAATCATATGACAGTTAAAGCCAAAGTCACATCAGCCTAGTAAGGAAGCTGTTGGAGTTGCTCTTGCTCTCTCTACTTCAGAAGCAGCCTACAATAAAATTATCAAAAGACACATACTAGGACTCAAGAGAGCTTGGTTACCCTTCTGACAGCTCACCTCCTATCCTTAGTCTCATATCTTTAGGTCAGGTTCCATCTCTTAACACACATACATGGGGATCTCAAGGAGAACATTTTTCATTAGTAGCTTAGCAACATCTGAATGACCTTCCAAGCTTATAGCAGAATCTTTCTCTTCGTCTTGCAATACAAAGCATTTGCTGGGAGTCGGAAAACGCAAGAACGAAATATCACTAAGCTCCACCATTCCTTGGAAGTAAGACTAACCCTAATAGAAGTAACTAGGAAAAAAGTATTCAGGAAGCAAAAGTCATAAGCTTTCCATTACCACTTCATTGTCGTAGATGCCCTCACTCTCCCCTTCTGTACACAAAGCTTTCCCTCTTTGGAAAGCATAAAGAGACCCTTGTGTGCTCAGAACTGTAATGTGAAAACAAAATTGTGTGTTGATGATCTTGAAACTATTTAATGAAGCAGTTTCAATTCCACCCTTCCTTCCTTCCAACTCCACCCTCTCCTCCAAGAGGAGAGGTTGTTTAGGTTAATATGGAGGGAAAAAAAAAGCAAGCTAAAAATAGCCTCCTTTTTGCCTTAAAAAAGTTAAAGCTATGAATAAACAGCCTGAAACAGGAATGCAATTAATCTGCTCACTAAATTCCTACATTGCTTTCTTGTTCAGTTCTTCAAAATATTTTCATAAGGATCAAACATGCAGACTTGCTTCTGCAGAGCCAGTGGTATCCCAGAACTGCCTGCTTCCTTGCAGTAAGGTAAACTGGCTTTGGCATAAGGAGGAACATGTTATGAGACTGTTAAACAAAGATAGAGTACAAGATTGTTAAATAGTGGCATATTTGAGCAATGTCCTTGCATCCTAGGAACAAGTATGAAAAAAAGAATTAAGAAAAATGCATCAAGAGAACACAAACACATTTCTATTGTTTTCCTTTACTGTGGAACAGATTATCTCCTAAGATCTACCGTCTCACTAAAAAGCACTCATGCTGTTATCCCTGTTTTAGACCCAAGTCACATCTGTGCCTGACAGCAATAGCTGTCAACACTGAAAGAGCACGGTGATCAGCCATCCTTTTCACCCTGAGCTGGGAGCCAAAGCAAGGTTGGCTCATATATTTGCAGTGCAGAGCCAAACTTCTTTAATCTACTCTGTTCCCCACACTATACCGACATAGCAAACAAGCACATCAAACCCCAGGGAGTGTCCTTGCAATCTGAATATTTGAACCCTAACTTGATTTTACCCTATTTCTTTTCCACTGCACCTCCAGTGAGATTCAGGTAATGCCATAAGAGTCACATGTACTACCCTATCAATGCAGACAGAAGCCTCTTGGCAGAGTTGCGTTTCATTCCCGTATTCCCAGTTTCCCATAGCATGAAGCATCACAGCATGCTGCTGTGGGGTGCTATAGACACTGCTATGATACCTGGTATGAGTTACATTTTAAAACAGAAAACCACCTCCCTCCTCTTACAGAAGATGAGCCCTCTGGAAAGAGAAAGGAGATGCCTCACTTTCATCTCAGAGTTCAGAGGGAATGTTTTATAGCTGTCAATCCTATCAAGATCCTACTCATTGACACAACTGGGACAGCAATTACTTTGAGGTAGGCTGTGCAGACATGAAATAGCCAGGGTCAGAAAAGGACATCACCTGGTGACATCTGGAAAACAAGGTGATCCTGAAGTAAATGCTGAAAGCCAACACACCACAGGCAGGCCAACCGAGTTAAGCAGATTTGACTACACAAGGCAAAGCCACATGAAGAACAAAGCAGTACCTGCTACTGGAACCCCAGGTAAGGAACATGCAACCAAGTTGTTTGCAACCTCTGGTGTCCCAGGTCCAGGCAAGCACTTTCACTCAGAAATGAGACACACTTGGTGACCACTGGGACAGGGGATGCTAGGATCTCATGCTCACACCTCTGTATCCCTGGCACGGCTGCATTTCCCACCTATACACAGTGCTCATCATCTCATTTTGACTGCTAGAAAGACTTCAGGGATACTATTTGGGCTGTAGAGAAATATTAAAGAAAGACATCCTGGTTAATACTTACATTACTTCTTCAACCATTTTACTGGAGCATTCACTGGCTCCATGTTTACCCTCCATTCCTTTCCAAGGTGGAAAGTGTCCTTTAACAGAAAGGACACTGGCACAAAGACTAAGTTATGCTACTGAATTCTCAGAGGGAATCCAAGAAGGAATCTCAGAGGGAATCTGCAAGCAGACCAGGGAGCTGCAACTGGACTTGCAGAGTTCTAAATTAGTTGCCAGACCTTTCAACAGGCATACCAGCCAACATTCACTTATGCAGCTGACTGAAAAGTCTGGTGGCTAAACAAAAGAAAAAGCAAGTCAGAGATAAAAGTCAAGGATGGTGTGGGTCAAGGTTAGAAGTAACTGCACCAGCAGGACTGACAGTGCAGCATCTACTATGCATCCAGCATCATATCAGGGCTGCTCCACAGCAAGCTTTGCTCAAGCAGGTACAGCTGCAGACTCCTGCCTTCTCAAGGGTGCAGGAGCCAAATGTTACAGCGCAGGAAAAGCCTTTGACGCAATTTTTCTGTAACCTCACCGTTTGCTGCCAGCTAATTTTAACAGATGCAAGTAGAGGTGGCTTCTGTGGGTTGAACAGGGATTCAACTTTCTCAGGGGACTGAAAAGAATCACAAGGGAATAGACACTGACTCAAGAGAAAGCAGTGGAAGTGTGTGGAAGCAACCCTGCATTTGATCTGAAAGGCAAAATCTTCAAAAAGCAGCCTAGGCTGTTTCTTTGCAGAAAACACAATGTCTAGAGCTCCTTTACAGCATTTAATGTATCTGAGATTGTGCGCACAGTCACTGATCGCAGTGACACCCCTTACAGTGACTCTCTTAAGACAACCACAATCATTTGAGATGATTTGTCAGGAATGCTAATTGATATAAATCAGCATGTCTTTGTCACAGCTAGTAGATTCAGCCAAGTATCTGCCCATGCACCAAGAAGGGTCTCCTTTGAGCAGTGTTCTCTGTCAGCTGACACAAGACCCATCTCACTTAAACCCTTTATCCTTCCTGCACTTCACCCAACCAAAATTCATGGTCCACAGTAAGATCCATACATCAGAAAAAGTGTATGTAGACAGGATCAAGAATCTAAGTGATGAACAGGTGAAAGGAGAGGGAGGGGAATTCACAGGCAACCTCTGTTACAAAATCATGGTCTTTAGCAGCAAAGCTCACTTGCAGGCTTACTCTCTCTCAGAGGAGAGTACAGAGACTGAGCTCCCCACAGCTTTTTAGCTTTTTTTGCAATTATAAGAGTCACTTCTGCACAATACCAAATCAGAAGGAAAGAAGGGACAAGCTAACCACTTCATACGCTGTGGAGTTCCCCATTACACCAGCACCAAGTGCTTTGTACCTGGGCCACAGAGAATGGAGTGGAATTCTAAGAGTCAAGAAATTTTGATCACAGTCATCAGGAAGAACAGTTGTAATGCACGGTAAAACCATGGCCTTGATCTATATTCCTAATACATAAAACATGTCTCAGGCCATGTCTGTCGCACTGGAAGTAGTCTTCCAGCTAAGCAGTTGTTTTTTCCTTCAACTTAGCCTCACTTTTAACTACTTTTGATTAAAATTATTACTTTCATTCAATATTCAGTTTCTGACAAGTATTATTCTCTATGTATGCTGCAACCTGACTTTACCCTTCCAGGCAAAACATACCAGCACACTAGAAACAACCTCTCCTATTTTACAAGCCATATACAATTTGTGCATCTGCAATATTGACAAGGGCTAGAAATACACGTTGTGTCCAATTCTCTTTCTATAACCTTTCGACAGTGATTTTGGGATCTTTTCCTTTTAAAGCATCGCTTCCTCCTGCTGTTGTTACTAGTTCTTAGCAGAATCATTTACCTTAGCACAATTACTTCCCTTATGCCCAGACCCATAACCCAAAACCTATACAACGTCAACATTAGATGCCATTTAATTGTACAAGTGTCCTATGCTCCCTTAAGCACTTACCAATATTTTTTGTTTATTGAGTCTTCAAGTTTTCCTCCAAGCAAACACTTGCACATGCATAGCTTTGTTCCTGCCCTTCTAGACTTACAGAGGGATTTCTCACAGGAGATACATGACTGATATACTCAGCTCTCCCAACCAAGACAAGACAGGTAAATAACTGTCTGAAAACCAGAGACAGCTTTGCAAGAAATTCTTATGCCATCATTTTGAAGGGTGAGAAATATTAAAATCACTTGAGTGTATTTTACTGAGTTATTGCCAGAAGAGAATTATTGACAGAAGAATCACAAGCAAGTTATGTGGACATTCACAGACAGCTGGTAGGGGTAGGGAAGCATTTTCTTCACTGTATTTCTTTCAAGTAGAAAACAAAAGAGTTTGTGGGAATGAAGATTTTCCAGAGTTTCTGTTTGGTATCCAAATAGCTCTGAATTAGCTAGCTCTGGCACACTGCTGAGAGAATTCCCACTGTTCATTTTAAGAGGATACTCAGGAACAGACTTATGAACACTCCAGCACCAAGACTTCCTCCCCTTTCACATGCACAGCCTGTGACTAGATGCCACACATGTATGATGTGTTTGCTTCCTTGCTTCTGCAGGGAAGCCTGATCTTCTGTACCCAAGCAATAATTTTCTTCCCTCCTTTTATTTATATAATTTTTCTTTCTGAAGCTGTTCTCACAAATTCTCATCTTGGTCATTGGATGAATATCTAGAATACACAATCAAAGCACTCAGTCTTCAGTCATCATTCCTCCACAAGGTGTACAGGTGGCCAAGAAAAAGGAGCTTGCAATGTTGAACTTCCTGTATGAGCTTTTGGGGTGGGTGGGGAAAGGTATGTATGCATTTAGCTTGGGACTGGAAAATCAAATCTTTCTGCAGTAGTACATGAACTGACAAAGTATAAATAGAAAAAAAGATTCTTATCACAGACAACAGCTAACAAATCCTCACTGGCAAAAACAGAGCGCATGTAGGAGAAACTCACTCTGACTGGTGGTTTTGCAGTTGACACACAAGATGCAGTTGGAAGTAGCTTTTGATCCTCCACAGCAGTAACAGCCAGCTTCAGCAATACCACTGCAAGACAGAAACCAACAGATTCATGAGTAAAACAGGCAGCTAGTGATCAGAAGTCACTTCAGGTTCAGATTTTTCAATGCAAGATTACAGCTCCCTACTTCACAATGCTCTCCTCTCTGTACTACCGCACACACTTTTCAACCTCAATGAAATTTATTACTAAAATGAAACTCAGGTCAACAAATGAAGATTGGAAAAATAACATTTAAAAGAGGTGACTTCTTCTCATTGAATCCACACACAAACTAATGAAGTGAGAATGAACACGAAATGGAAGGAGACTAAGGCATGTTCAGCATGCAGAGGAAAGCCCGGGTAAAGAGTGCCTACAGAACAGTACCCTGTAATTTATGCTCCACCAGCATCCCAAGGAACAAGCACTGCTGCTCCCAGGGAACAATACACAGAAAGCATTCAGAAGAGAGAACAGGATTGTTTCCTGTACAGGGAGAAGGTCTTGGAAAAGGAGAGTAAAATTAATAAATACTTCTAATCATTCAAGTTTCTACGACTGACAAATGCCAAAGCAGCAAGCTCCGCTGGTGGGAGCAGTTTACCCAACAAATACATGCAAATGAAAAGCACCTTCTGCTGGGAATGGTAAAATTGCATGAAGTGATGCTGCATAGGGAAAAGTAAGGTTATAACCATACTCAAATGCATAATCAACTAACAGTTCAGTTCTACCTACAGAAGCAACAGTAAAGTCTGCACTGTAGACAAGCCCTTTTGAAAAAACAGTCCTTTTTCCATGTGCAAACCACTGTGCATGGTTTGTCAAAGAGCACCTCGTAGCTTTTGCTTAGGTGCTTAATGACACTAATTTCCAGTTGCTCTAGAAATCTAGCACAACAGAAAGCAGGCTACATCCCTGTTACGCGCAGGAGTGTTGCTGTCCGAGATTGTACTGTCGCACAAATCAAGCAGGCCCCAAAGGAGAATTGGCAATGCATTCCCTAAACATAGCTTTATTTTGTTTTTTCTAAAACAAAGAACTAAGGAGGTAGATATCAAGTGTTTGTTGAGAAGAGAGCTGCCTGATGATTTTTAGATTTCTTTTTTTCCTCCTAACTTGACAAATACCAGAAGCCACATCACCTTTTAAGGCAAAAGGCAGCTGAAAGTGAAATCCTTCTTTCTTTTAAGCCAGAGTGACTCATAACAGCAAAGATTCTTCCTAGGAAAACAAATTCAATCACAAAGCAAGACCAAGCTAGAAGCCTTAGTAATAACAATGCAAATGAATCCTTCTTTTCCCTTGACTTTTGTGGATTGGTGTTGGCTGGTTCAGCAGGTGTTCTTAGCTATTGCAGAAAAGAAAACAAGCTAGACAGACTACTGGACTGACCCAGTCTTACCATTCATTTGCATCCCTAGAGAGTGCAGTACTACAAACACAAGCACAGATGCACAGGAATGCAATTCATCTCTTAATTATGCAGGAATGCAGGGGGAAGCATGTATCTGAAGTCGTATCTACACTGCAGTCAAACATGCTTTCAGCACAGTTGACAACCAGAGCAAGAGACAAATCAGAGTAGATGCAGAAGCATACACACAACACTGCCCCCAGTGAGCCTGCGCAGAGGTGTATAACCCAATGCCACCATATCTTCATCAGGCCTGTTAAACAACATCAACGATACTTAAGTCATATACGGCTATTCAGACTGCAATCCTGCCCCCTGAAACAAAGGTTGTCACTGCCATCGGAAGTGGCAACATTACACTGGTGAGAGGATGTGATCTCAGTAGGCTGCATCTAAGTCTACTCTTCAAGTCTAGAAGACATCAAAAATCCTCCTCTTTGAGTACTGTGGCCATTGCACAGATTTCCCTTGACTTGTCTAACATGGGAGCTCAGGAAAGTACAGTTTAAGCAAAGAAGGCACCGGCACCACCAGCAGAGACCAAAGCTCCATCTCCCTCTCCACAAATGAACTGCAAATGAACTATAACCCCAGGCAAAACATTTTGTCTACTTGTGCCCCGCTTTTGTTGTCAGGTTGACTTTTTTTTTTTTTTTCTCTTCTTTTGACCAGGGACCATCTTTTACAAGATGTTGATGTTTATTTTTCATGTGTTGCTGAGCACAACAGGGCCTCTAAACATTAACTTGAATAACAACAGGACCATCAGCTGCAGTGTAACTCCAATTAGTGCTACAAGGCTCCCCTCAAACCCAGCTACAGAAGACATCATGCTCCAGAGACCAGAAGCATCTTTCTGTCCTGGCTTGTGTCAAATACTTACTGGCTCTCTGGCATGCAATGACCTGGAGTCCATCTCAAGAGAAGTCTCTGACACATTCCAACTGTTTAGATATTTTTTCAGGCTAACTTCAAAGGTTCTTAAGGGGGCAAACTACAACTTAGCAAGAGAGGGTGAACTGGAATCATAGAATCAACTAGATTCGAAAAGACCTTTAAGATCAAGTCCAACCTTTACCCCAGGACTGCCAAGACCACCACTAAACCATATCACCAAGGGCCTCATCTACACATTTTTCAAATAGTGTGGTGATGCCACCACTTCCCTGGGCAGCCTACTGCAACACCTGATCACCCTCGCAGTGAAGAAATTCTTCCTAATATCCAATCTAAACCTCCCCATGCACAGCATGAGGCCGTTTTCTCTTGTCCTATCACTGGTTACTTGGGAAAAGAGACCAGCCACCTCCCCTCTCCATCCTCCTTCATCTGTAGCTTCATCCTGGGTAGGTGGTCTGTAACAGACTCCTAACTGCTTGGTTGGCTTTCCCCCTGTTCTTCACCCACATTCAGCCCTCTCACTCACAACATTGAGTTCAAGGCAGTCAATGCACTCCCTGACACACAACATAACCTCAATACCTCTTTTTCCTTGCCTATCCCTTCTGAAGAGCCTGTAGCCATCCATTGCAGCATTCCAATCATGCCAATTGTTCCACCATGTTTCTGTGATTGTGACTATGTCATGATTTTCCTGCTGCACAATGGCTTCAAGCAACTCCTGTTTGTTGGCCATATCGTGAGCACTGGCATAGATGCATTTAACTTGCCCTGTGGATCTGGCCTTTAACAGTGGTGTGCTATCCCCTGACTCATTTCTAGTGGGCCTGATTTTATCCCCTTCCCTTTTGGAATCTAGTTTTAAAGCCCTGTCTATGAGCTCTGCTAGCTCCTGGGCTAGAATTCTTTTCCCTCTTTGGAACAAGCATACCCTGTGGGTCACCAGCAGGCCTGGTGCCATGAAGACTGACCCATGGTTCTGATGCTGACACCAGTCCCAAAGCCAGAAATTAATCTGCAAGATTTTTCTGACACTATCATTGCCATTGCTTGTGACTGGCAGGAGGGACGAGAAATCTGCTTGGGCTCCCAAACCCTGGACCAGTCATCCCAAAGCCCTTAAGTCCTTCTTGAGTCTCCTCAGGCTTCCTGCTGAAGAGATTTTCTCATTGCCCACCTGGAGGACTAAAAAAAAAGATAGCACTCGCAGGACCGTACCAGAGAAGTGAGTTTTCTAGTAACATCCCTCACCCTGGCCCCAGGGAGGCAGCAGACTGCCCTGTGAGCCAGGTCGAGTGGACACATGGGGCCCTTTGCTCCCCTCAGCATGGAGTCACTAATCACAGCCACTCTTCTTTCTTCCTAGTAGAGTTGGTCGCAATGCAAGGCAACTCTCTGACTCTTCCATGGCGACTCTTCTAACCTGGACGATCCCTTGCCCACTTCATCATTTTCCTCATTTTCCTGATCCTCAAACACCAGGGCCTCCGATCTCGGAGCGGCCTGGGCCGCTCGCGCTCCCTGGGTGGTGTTTGAACGCCCCCTGTGGGTCACTGCGGCCCTGGGCAAGGCCCGGTGTGACCCGGGGCTGCTTCGCGGCGCCGGTCCTTCCGGAGCGGGGCACCTGGACGCTGCCACTTCCCCACGCTCCGGTGCTGGAGGCGTCCTCGGCTGAGCTCCTCAGCTCGGCAAATGACCGATTGATCCTAACGCCCAAATTCAAACTGTCTGATTAAAGATCTGTCAAAGCTCAGCTTGGACACCATGGGCTAGACGGGAGTCCTGCTTTCTTATTTTCTTGCTTTGAAACACATGTACTTGCTTCCCCCACTCTTGCGTTCTTCCCTGGGCACTGCTGTCAGAGACAGATCCAGGTGACTTTCTCTGTGACCCAGGATGGCTGTTTCTTGGGGATTATATTATTCTGCAAATTGATAGAGGAATCTGGTTTCCAGGTGCAGGACATCTCAGTGCCCTACCACTGCCCAGAGCTTACTGCTGCTTCATAGAATCACAGAGTGGTTTGGGTTGGAAGAGACCTCAAAGATCATCTAGTTCCAACCCCTTCCCCTAGACAAGGTTGCTCAAAGCCCCATCCTGCTTGGATTTGAGCACTTCCATGCATGGGGCAGCCACAGCTTCTCAGGGCAACCTGCACCAGTGTAATTTCTTCCTAGTATCTAAAATCTAAATCTACCCTCTGCCAGTTTAAAACCATTACCTATCTCATCAGTCCCTGATAAAGAGTTTCTCCTTATCTCTCCTGTAAGCCCTCACACCACTCAGCTTGACTTCATCAGCAAACTTGCTGAGGGTACACTCAATCCCACTGTCCTGTAAAAGGCCAACAGATTTGTCAGGCACAATTTGCCCTTGATGAAGCCATGTTGGCTGTCACAAATCACCTCTTTTTCTTTAGAGAGGATCTGCTCCATGATTGTGATGGGCACTGAGGTGAGACTTACAGGACTGTTTAAAGGCAAAGAGTGAATTTGGAAGTTAGGAGATAGGACCATGATGTGCTAATATTGCCTGAGTTTTCATTCTTCTGAGCCCAGTCAGGTTTTTTTTTTCCTTCCCCTTAAGCCAGAAAAATAGCTTCACCCCCTCCTATTTTGAGGCAAGAGCCATAATGTGGTAAGGACACTAAGCTGCACCCATTTGGGCAGTAGTTCTAAGAAACGAAACCATTATCAACAGAGACATGATCAAAGGCATTTGACGGTA